ATGTATGTATGTATGTATGTATGTATGTATGTATGTATGTATGTATGTACGTATGTATGTACGTACGTACGTACGTACGTACGTACGTACGTACGTACGTACGTACGTATGTACGTACGTACGTACGTACGTACGTACGTATGTACGTATGTACGTATGTACGTACGCACGCACGCACACATATGAAAACACAAATTATAGATCCTGGAAAACACTTTTGTTGTTGGAATAAGCACAAATACATCCCAAACTTTGAAAGTAGTTTACTGAGAATTGCCAAATCAATTAATTTACTTTCCAAAATTCTATCTCCTCACAACCCAAAATTTATTTTGGAGTAATGATGCATTTTAAATATATTGTGTAGCACCAAAGCTTTCAAATCTGTAAAACTGATCAGCTCAGTATGCGTTGAAACTTTTCATCCTGATGCTGCTCAATAATCCAGGGAGATAACTCTAACAAGGTTAAGTCGTGTCCTCTGGATGGATTCCTGTTTGTTGAAATGTTTTGTCTTTTATCCAAAATACTTCTTCAGTGTGAGGAGCTCCATCAAACTGTTTGTTGCCCAGTTTCTCCTATTGTTGCAAACCTGTACATGGAGGAGGTAGAAAAGAGAGCCGCTTGGGTCCTGGACACCACCGAGTCATTGATTCAGATATGTTGATGACAACTGGGTTAAAATTGAATCTCAGGAAGTCCGACATTTTTTTTTTTTTTTATTCTGTCATATTTAAGTGTCTTAAATTGTGATATTTTTAAAAACTTGCATTATATTTTATGTCTTATTACCGGATGTTTTGTGATTTTTTTCATTCAACCTCAAGCTGAATTTCAAAATATTTTGCATTTTATAAGCAACATAAAAAAACTGGTTAGATGTGGTTTTGCGTGGGAATTAACCCTCAACTGCCCGGTGCTAACCGAGGACCACTTAAATGTTCAGCGCATCTCTTCCGGACTACCTTAAAAGATTCTGAAGCCAGTGAGCCACTAGGAGCTCCTCTCTGCTATAACTGCGTTTTAAGGTGGACTGACATCTTACCTGATCCTGCTCGGTATCTTGCCCCTGCGAGTCGCCTTTAACAAGCTCCATGCAATCAGAAGTTCTCGCGATAAAACGGGGCTGAAATCTCGCGATAGCAGAGGTGAATTTACAACTCGGTCGCTCATTGGTTCGAGGGCGCTGTTGTAAGATGGCGCCCAGCGACATTCTAGTAGTGTAGAGAAAAAAATACCACAGCTAATCGTCAGAGGAAAACCAAGAGAAAATTAAGCACTGAGTAGCCAGTGAAAATATTATTTGCGCTTCGCTTTGTGTTCGTCGGAAAATCAGTGCTTCTGGGTGATTCCAGGCTCGGCCCGTTAAAGAAAAGAGGTAGCCAACGCGCCCGCTAATGCTAGCTTGTTAGCTTTGGAAAAAAAACAAAAATTGTCTTGTTTTACCAGCACAAGAGTGGTTTCCTAAGGCTGTTGATGTTAGCACATATCTTCTGTGATAAAGCGAACACATTGTCATCCATTAATACACTCGCTTTAGCGTTTCGTGTCCAAAATTCTGTATTTAGCTGTCTTGCAAACAACACGCGGCTAGTTAGCCGTGTACCTGGCTAACCTAGCTCGTTGTGTAATCAGCTGTTTGATTAGCAGTCCAGATCCTACACCGTGTCCATAACAGCAGCAGTTCTCTTCAGCTCGCTGTGTCACGCAGCTGTTTCCGTCTCATGTACGAGTACTGCATCAGATTTGGAAAGTGACCGCGCTTTTGTCCCGTCTGGTTTCCACTCAACCAGAATTAACCCTTTCTGTGTTCGCACCGGGCTGAGGTCAGAGTGATGTAGCTGCAGAGTTTATATTCCCATATTCTAAATCAGTTAGTCTTCTCTGGTGTTGGGCTTGTGAACGTTTTAACCAGATTCTTGAAATGCATTTTTTTTGCCATGTAGTGAACCTTTTTTCCCCATTCTCCAGGTTCCTCCTCAGCAGAGGGCTCTGCAGCAATGAACAACTCCTTGGATGGCACAAGCTCCTATGAGGAGCTGGTGAGACAAAAGGCTCGGAGCATCCCTCAGCATCGCATGAAGGAGTTCCTGGAGTCCTTGGCCAGCAAAGGTCCAGACGCCCTGCAGGAGTTTAGCCAGCAAAGCGAAGACACGACAACAACCACTACCGCCATGATTTACCAACAAGAAGCCAACTGTATCTATACAGACAGCACAGAGGTGGCAGGATCGCTGTTAGAACTGGCATGTCCGGTAAAGTAACAATTTAAATTAGTTAAAATAATAAGGAAACCTTAAAAGATATGGGTTTTTTTTGTATTTAAGAAGTACCGTATTTTCCGCCATACACATTGCACCGCCCTATAAGTCGCATCAGTCCAAATTTTGTCTAATAAAGTGGAAAAATCCATAAACGTGTCGCTTCGCCATATACGTCACATCTATTATGTGTCACCGCTGACAACCCGGAAATGTGGGCCGGTGTTGTCAAAAATCGATTGGTTGCCAAATGGTAGCCGCGGGAACGTGCACAGGAGGACTTTACCAATAATTTATCATGATTAACACTTAAAAACAATTTTGTTTGCTTGAAATTATAGTAAAGGTGTGTCTCAGTTTAACTTTTGCTTAATAAATGCACTTTGATAGTCAAGTCAGCTGCAATGCAAAAGCCGATACGCAGAAACATGAACGCGCAGAGGGAGGACTTGCTGTCCATTTATTCGAAATTAACAATATAACCACCTAAAACAATTATTTGCGAGCTCGACTTTATAGTAAAGGTGTGTCGCAGTCTACCTTTTGCTTAATAAATACACTTTGGTGGTCAAATCAGCTGAATTTCGCCGGGGCGGCGCAGCGAAATGAAGCTGATTCGGTTGCTCCAGGCAGACGACGGTGGCAGGCTGTGGCAAGCCGATTGTGTCATTAATAATCGCGTTTACCTATTACATGATACAACGGCATGCCTTCCTTACTACTCTGTCTCCATCTAGTGGCTGAAAATGGTAATGTTCCATTTTTCAGTCAGAATTGAAAACGGTCATATCTCAGCCAAACATTGGTTTATAAATATGGGAAAAAATACATGAATATGTCGCTTCGGTGTATAAGTCACAGGGCATGCAAATTATGCAATAAACCGTGACTTCTACAGCAAAAAATATGGTAATGCCTTAAATGATGAGAATGGTTATGTTGTGTTAAAATTATGCAAATAATTTTGACCATTTTTGCTTTTGAAGATTTGTTATTTAAATCATTTTAGGTAAATGCAATTTTGTTCATGAAAACACTAAAATATAATCTTTTTAAAAGAGAGTTTGGGTTTTTTGTAGCGACGTCCTGTGGAGTTATCTGCAGTACACAGTAGTCTGAGCGTTGTCAGTTTAGACAATCAGAGAAGTTTAGACAGAGTCCAGAGTCGGTCTAATAGCTAGTTGGTTGGAGCCTGTTCCATTGTTGTTTTCAGTCTTCTCAGACTTCAAGAAGTTTATAGCACTTTAAGCAAGCTATACGGTAATTAAGTTGTGCACTCGTACCCCTTTCGCATCAAATCATTATTTACAGAGAAGTCTACAGTTATTTCTGCTGAAAACCATGTTGGTTCATGATTTGGTGCAAAATGATCTGTACAAAAAAAAAAAAAAAAGCTTTGCAAAACATACATTTTACATATAAACAATTTAGTAAGCCTAAAGTAAATAATGTAGTGATAGTGTTAACATATTATGTTTTATATATGAATGTTTTTGTTCAGTGCCCTGAGATGACTTCTGGTGTGACTTGGCACTATATAAATAAATTAAATTGAATTGGAAAATTGAAAATTAAGTCATTAATATAGCATTCACTTAAACTGCTATCAAATCTTTGAAGTTTGAGTTTTTTTTTAAGATCACTGAATTTGTTCTGGAAAAAGCTCAGATCTGGCTAGTAGTTAGCTTGACTTGGTTCTGAGAATTTTGTTTTGATTCTTCACTGTTCAGACTGCTGTTCACTGCAGGCAAGTTACTGTTAACAGGACCTCACTTAAAAAATCTGAGCCATCCCTTTGAAAGAGTTCTAGCTCTGACATGATGCTTTCTCAGTAGCACTGTCCTGTGATGCAGGTTCAGGTGCAGGTCCAATCACAGCAGCAGATTCAGGAGTCCACATCACAACAGCAGTCTGTGCTACAGAATACAGAACAGCAAATTGTACAGGTTTGTATATTTAATGTCATTAAGTTAACTTACAAAAGAAAACAAACTTACCACTGTTTGTTATTGGTGTTGTTTTTTCAGGTGCAAATTCAAGGCCATCAGCAAGGCCAGATGCTAGGTCAGGTTCTCCAAGTGCCTGCTGGCTCCCATCAGCAGCTGCAAGGGGTGACAACTGCACAGCTGATTCAGCCTGGTGACCTCACAGAGGAACAGCAACAACAGGTATAGACACACAACAACAGTGTTGTAGTAGAACTGGTAATTTTTCCACTAATTATTACCATTGTTTTAGCTTCAAGCCCAGTTGGTGGCTGCTGTTGCTGGAGGTCAGCAAATCCAGATCCAGACGGTGGAAGCCCTCTCACCAACTCAGCAACAGGACAGTGCAGAGAGAAGGGTAATGGGGACCACAGTTGCCACATCTCAAGGAGCAGGTGTCCTCCAGCCAGCCAAAAAGCGTAAGGTGGACATGCCCATCACCGTGTCTTATGCCCTGCCTGGCCAGCAGGTAGCCACAGTCTTAGCTATCCCTCAGGGCCAGGGGCAGCAGCAAAGTTATGTGTCCCTGAGGCCAGACCTTCTAACTGTGGATAGTTCCCACCTTTACAGCGCTACTGGTACGATCACCAGTTCCACAGGTGAGACCTGGACCATTCCTGTATATTCGGCACCTACTGGGTCTGGAGGCCGTGAGCAGGTCACACACATTGCCATTCCCCAGGAGGCTTATGGGACAGTGCAGGTGGCAGGCACAAACACTACAACGACGACAATGCCAGCGCAAGTTACTGTTGAAAATGACAAGTTGAAAAACCCTGCAAGTCAAAGTCAGACAGCACAGGCTGTCTCCAGCATAACGAGCTCTGGAGGAATGGGCAGCCAGGAAGAAGTGGTGCACACTCTGGCCGCAAACACACTTTTCCCAGCCCAGCTAATGAATGGAAACATCCACATTCCCGTGGCTGTACAAGGCTACTCTAATACTACTCAGTCACTTATTTGGGACCCGCAGCAGCAGGTGCTGCACACACAGGGACTTTCAGGCCAGGATGCACAGCAACTACAGGTAAACCTACAGGTATTCAGCTGTGTTGCATTTTTGTCTTACAGATGTATATTTTTAGACTGAGTGAGTGACCAGTGTTTTATGTGCAAGCAGGGTCAGACAGTGATTGCAGAAGTGGATGCTCAAGGTCAGCAGCAGGTGCAAGTGCAGGAGCTGCTATTGCCAGCCACTCTGAAGCCAGAGGAGGGACTGGACGTGTGGCGGCTGTGGGCTCAGAGGAAAAACGCAGAGCTGGACAAATCGGAGAAGAATAAACTGGCTCCTATAGGCCGTAAGTGAGCGTGCTTCATATTAGAAGAGGCAAACAATTGTTATGAAGGAGCATGTATTTTGTCTTCTTTTTATTTATTTTTAAAAATCTTTTACAGCAGTTCTAATTGTGTTTTATTTGTTTAGGCCGCCAGGTGCTTCGTTTCCAAGAAGACTTGGTGTCATGTGCTGTCGCTGAGCTCTGCATGGGTCTGTCTTTGATGACAACAGAGGCCCGGGGACTGGAAGAAGAGACATATGATGCCGATGTTCTTTACTATGTATTTTTGTGCATACAGAAAGTGAGTGTCCCACCTGCATTCTAACACACAATTTGTTTCATTGTGTAAAAGTTTTGGGAGATTAGTTTTTTTTTTGTCAAGGCACGATATATCAGTAATAATTGTATTTATATTGTACTAAAACAAAATCATGGTTCATCAGTGCCTCCAACACTTAATGAGATTTGCTTGTAGACACTTTTCTATTGTGGCCTTTCTAATGGGCTGCATCTTTCTTTCTTTTTTTACCCCTTTTCCTGCAGTATCTGTTTGATAATGGTCGTGTTGACGACATTTTCTCAGATCAATACTACAGTCGCTTTGCTCAGAGTCTGCACCAAATCTTGGAGCCCTGGAGACCATCTGTTCATCCATTAGGTGTGACCAAAAGTTCCTTCTCTCAGTACAAAATAGTGATCTCACAAACCTATACTTCTTAAAATGGCACAAACCATCTCCCTGAATGATTCTTTTTGTGATATAGTTACTGGTATATATTGCAATAGTTTTTCCTAAAATATTCTTTAAGATCAATTGTTCTACATGTACAATGTTTTTCTTTTTGTGGTTTGTATAAAATTTTCTTTTTGTTTTGTCAGTGAATATCCCATTGAGCCTGTAAGTGTTAATGCCACAAAGCGCTTCAGAGATTAAAGAGGTTCTCTGAGTCAAGCTCAAACAGTCACGTCCAGTTTTGACCAACAGAGGGTGTAGCATCAATGTAAAATATGACATGACATTTCTGTTTACAGTACAGGTGCTGGTCATAAAATTAGATTATCATGAAAAAGTTTATTTGTTTCAATAGTCCATTCAAAAAGTGAAACTTGTATATTATATTCATTCATTACACACAGACTGATATATTTCAAATGTTTATTTCTTTTAATGTTGATGATTATAACTGACAACTAATGAAACCCCCAAATTCCGTATCTCAGAAAATTAGGATATTGTGAAAAGGTTCAATATTGAAGACACCTGGTGCCACACTCTAATCAGCTAATTAACTCAAAACACCTGCAAAGGCCTTTAAATGGTCTCTCAGTCTAGTTCTGGAGGCTGCACAATCATGGGGAAGACTGCTGACTTGACAGTTGTCCAAAAGACCACCATTGACACCATGCACAAGGAGGGCAAGACACAAAAGGTCATTGCTAAAGAGGATGGCTGTTCACAGAGCTCTGTGTCCAAGCACATTAAACGAGGCGAAGGGAAGGAAAAGATGTGGTAGAAAACTTGTAAAAGCAACTGGGATAACTGCACCATGGAGAGGATTGTGAAATAAAACCCGTTCTGAAATGTGTGGGAGATCCATAAAGAGTGGACTGCAGCTGGAGTCAGTGCTTCAAGAACCACCACACACAGACGTATGCAAGACTTTCAGCTGTCACATTCCTTGTGTCAAGCCACTCTTAAACAAGAAACGGCATCAGAAGTGTCTCGCCTGGGACTGCTGCGGAGAGGTCCAAATTTATTTTCTCCAATGAAAGTACATTTTGCATTTCCTTTGGAAATCAAGGTCTCAGAGTCTGGAAGAAGAGAGGAGAGGTACAGAATCCATATTGCTTGAGGTCCAGTGTCAAGTTTCCACAGTCAGTGATGGTTTGGGGTGCCATGTCATCTGCTGGTGTTGGTCCACTGTGTTTTCTGAGGTTCAAGGTCAACGCAGCGTCTACCAGGAAGTTTTAGAGACTTCATGCTTCCTGCTGCTGACCAACTTTATGGAGAAGCAGATTTCATTTTCCAACAGGACTTGGCACCTGCACAGTGTCAAAACTAACAGTACCTGGTTTAAGGACCATGGTATCCCTGTTCTTAATTGGTCAACAAACTCATCTGACCTTAACCCCATAGAAAATCTACGGAGTATTGTGAAGAGGAAGATATGATACACCAGACCCAACAATTCAGAAGAGCTGGAGGCCACTTTCAGAGCAACATGGGCTCATAACACCTGAGCAAAGACACAGACTGATCGACTCCATGACACGCTGCATTGATGCAGTAATCCAGGTAAAAGGAGCAACAACTAAGTATTGAATGAAGTACATGCTCATACTTTTCATGTTCATACTTTAAAGTTGGCCAACATTTCTAAAAATCCTTTTTTTTAATTGGTCTTAATATTCTAATTTTCTGAGGTACTGAATTTGGGGTTTTCATTAGTTGTCAGTAATAATCATCACCATTAACATGAATAAACATTTGAAATATATCAGTCTGTGTGTAATGAATGAATATAATATACAAGTTTCACTTTTTGAATGGAATTACTGAAATAAATCAACTTTTTCATGGTATTCTAATGTTATGACCAGCACCTGTACAGTCTGGCATGAAGTTTCACAGCAGCTCTTTTTGATTGAAGCTACATTTTTGCATGTAGCTCTTTGGAAAGCAAATTATAAATTGCCCTAAAAACCACGTTTTCATATTTTTAATTTTCCGCTTATTTACTTGTTAATATTGAACAATACTAAAGTCTTTTTGTATGCCGTCATTAAATTGTAATATGATAACTTTTATTTACTAATATCAGCTTTCTTTTTCAAACTAAATTTAAAGAGCTAATTTAACGAGTTCTTCTTGCAGAATGTTCTGTAATTTTACAATCCAGCTTTTCATCACCTGTCCTTTTCTCTCCACTTGCAGGTTATGTTATTCCTAGTCACGTGACCGAGGAAATGTTATGGGAATGTAAACAGCTGGGGGCTCATTCTCCATCAACACTGCTCACAACTCTCATGTTTTTCAACGCCAAGTGAGTTTTATGGTGCTTCTACATACCACAGTTTTTTCTTAATACCAGTCAGCTGTTTTTACAAACCCGTATGTGCTCATTTACAGATGATTTGTTTTCTGGGGCCTCTGTCAACTCATTTGTCCTGGCAAAAAATAGGGTGGCTTCAGTTCATACAGGACCCTGTTGTCTATAGATCATACTTTACATCCGTTATTTACACATGTTGTCTACACCTCGACAATCATCTGGTAGGGTTGACATGGAATAGGGGGTCAAAGTTGCCCTACCTTTTGAGCCACCTCAATAAGAAGTGACAAGCAGAAATGGTCATGATATTGTATGTAAAGTTAAGCTGGGATCGCAGGACAAGAGTAAGTACAAGTGTAAAGTGATGACTTGCAACCAGCCAGCTGCAGGATGTGAAACTAAGAAACCAGCAAGAAAATCATCTCAAGAAAAACTAGGAGCTATAACAGAGTAGAGCTAACTGGAGTGAAAGCAAGATTTGCAAGCTTTTAAAAAAAAAAATTAATACCATAGTTCTAATTCAGCTGCACATCTCAGACACCATCCCTTCACCACACCCCTTTGATTCCAAGATCCCAGCTCCAGGTAATGACCACACCCCTTTTGATTCCAAGATCCCAGCTCCATGTAATGACCACACCCCTTTGATTCCAAGATCCCAGCTCCATGTAATGACAGGACACAGAGTCCCGTGATCTTCCTGAATCATCTTGTGTGTTGTGAATAACAAATAAGCCGTAAAGAAGAGTTTGTGTTTGCAGGTTTGTTGCGGAACTACGGTCTGAAAGGGACTTAAAAGTTGTGTAGTCCTCATAAAAGTTAGTAACCATAATCAAATAAAGGAATCAACGCTTGATTAAAACAAAGTATTAATTGTAATGAATCTATTTTAGTGGAAGAATTGTCAGTATGAGTTTACCTACTGTTTGCTGACAGACATTGCCATCATGGGATGGTTGGGTAAAAATTTAAAAAAGCCTTTTCTTTAGTTCCATTTTTGTACTAGTTGGACTCTTTAGGACCACTTTTGTGGTTTAAACCCATAAATGTTTTTTGCCAGACCTGCCAACGTCTAGCTTTTTGTATCGATTTTGATTTTAAAGTGTGCTGAATTTGGACATTTCAAAAATGTAAAAAGTAGCTTGACAGCTTTAACGTGATGGTACAGAACACAAGTTTACAGCAGTGAGCTTTGAAGCTACACAATCAGATTAACAAAGACTAGATTTAGAGCAATAACGATCAGGCCTGTCACGATAATAAATTTTGCTGAGCGATTAATTGTCTCAGAAATTATTGCGATAAACGATAATATTGTTTGAAATTTGACAATAATTAGTAATTATTGTCAACTGTAAAAAGAAATGTTGGTTAATTTTATTTTGCATGTAGTACCTTTTGTGACCACCAGATGGCGGTATGACTGTTTGAACCGAAGGATGGATAGTGAGGGAGCGAGCAGCGTGTCTCTTTAAGAAAAATGGGAGGGAGGCCCCTTGACGTGACATGGGCTGTCTCGTTCTTTTTTTTCCGGTTCTCAAAATGGCGGACGCTCAGTGTGGTTTGAGCTCTTTAGCATTTTTCACATAAAGCTTTAAAAAAAAAAAAAAAAAAATCGGTAAACAAGTTCTCAGCTTCTGTTTGCAAAGAAAAACAACGGGTTTCAACCATGAATTTTGGAGCTTCGACAAGACGGAGATTTTTTCCTGAGGTCGGCCTGTTAGTCCTAAATCGCACTAGCTAAGCTGTTAAAACAGATTTTTAAGATAAGAGAAAGGGAGGGGAGCTTTTTGTCTTCCAGTGTCTTCAGTAGAAAGAGACACGAAGAAATGATAAAACCGATAAATGAAAATGAGGTTGATAATTTTCATTTATCATGCGATTAATTGATTTATAATTTATTGCGACAGGCCTAATAACGACGCTGGATTTGTATTTGTTAATTTCTCTCGTTTGTTTAGAAAATAAAGTACTGTACTGTTCAGCTTGTGTTGTTTGTCCCTTTTCTTGCTGACTTGTTTTCTCCTTAATTAAACTCATTAATAAGAACGCATCGACCAGTTTATTTGTACTCCTCTGATTGCAGTTATTGATTTTTGTGCTTTTCAAAATAGGTATTTTCACCTGAAAACAGTGGATCAGCATCTAAAAGTGGCTTTTTCGAAGGTACTGAGACACACCAGGAAGAGTCCCAACAATCCCAAAGACAAAAGCACCAGCATCCGATACCTAAAGACCTCAGAGAGGTTCACAGGACAGAAAGGTAATGCCTTGATATCATTGCAACGTGCGGTACGATTCAGCAAAGCTCGGCTCTCCCTGCCGTGTTTCACACTCAGGTTTTGGTAGAATCCAGTTTTCTATGGCTGCAGCTTTGTGAACACAAAACTCAGCTTCCTTGTGTTTGATTGTTAAATTAACATTTGTCAGACATTTTAATTAAACCCGGCTCCCATTTGAGGGTGTAAAGTAAAATGTGGTTGGTGCCCTGGCAGGCTTTTAGAGGGTTTACATGTATTTAATAATAGTTTTAAAGAGCTCAACTTTTCAGCTTGTTTAAATCAATTCTCACAACTAACCAACAAGCTCAACCATGAGTCACAAGCAGCATGTGCGATCTCTGCGCATCAACAAAGTCTTCATAGTTTGTTCTAAAGTTTGACAGACCTTCAGATGACTTAATAATAGAAGTAAGTGGGTCACTGTGTGCGTCACTGCAGAGTTGCTGTTGTTCACACCAACAAGTGTTGATTGTCTTTGACCAGTCAGCGGTCTGCAATATTTTCACACAACCAAATGGTACCAGGATGGCTCACTTCAAACTTTGGCTGCGGTCATACAATAAAAAAATTAATCAAGTTGATGTCAGTCGTGTCGGAAAACCAAACGAAGCTAAGCTTTAATGCACGGGCTGAAGCGTAGGTTCATGCTGATGTCTGTACAGAAACCCCGTGTTTTAGGCCGTTTACTTTTCTGTTCAGTGACGGACGACATGTACTCGGAACAAGCGGAGGACCCAGAGAACCCTCTGCGATGCCCCATCAAGCTCTACGATTTCTACCTCTTTAAATGGTAAATATGTTCTTATGAATATAAAGGGATATCAGTTTGATTAGAATACTTAAAATGGAACAATAAAAATTTAAGTTGGTAACACACACAAATAAAAGGTTTTCAGCAAAGACGATAAAAAACACTCAACATTTAATGTGTTTATTCAATAAAACTTTGTCCCAAAAAGAGCTGGAAGAAATGATTTTGTTATCCTCCCCATACCTTCCAGTGTTTCGTCATAAAACATGTATTAGTTTATATTTATATACATATGTACACTCATGGACATGATTTAATGTTTCTTGCATATTTAAATGTGCACAAACCTTTCCCCATGCTGCATAAATACAACACACTTAAAGCTTTATATTTTTATCCTGTTGACATAGACATTGATAGTTTGTGCTACTTTACAGTTGATACACGCCATCTTTTGTTTTTTTTTAAATAAAGTCCTTGGTTAATGTTTTAACTAGTGAATATTTAGATTTTCTTTCAGTTCAGTTTCTCTCCACCATCGACGATGCAAAGGTTTTCAGTGCTGTCGGTGCAATAAAGAATTTAAACCTCAGCCCTCTTCTCAACATTTAGCTGCTCTTTCTATCAAGATGACAACATTTAACATTTTCTTAGTAGAAGCTTTTGTCCTCGAATGAAACGCTTAAGTTTGATTGACATGAGAGGTAGAGCACATGCTGCACTGGAGTATTTAAATGCGAGAGAACACGGTTGCTTAGCAACTGAAAAAACAGACTAGACTAGGGGTGCATCGATTGCAGTTTTCTGGCCGATCACAGATCTCTAAAAAGTCTGACCTGCCGGTTCTGATTTAGTTTTATTAGCGACACCGTCAGGTGGTATAAGTCACAATGCACCTTCAATTTTACAATCTTATTTTATTGAAAAACATATCTTTGAACAATATCCTAGAACAATACAAATTCGTTTTAACTGGCCATGAAGTAGTGCTCTGAAATATAAGTGAAGTTGTTAAAGCTAAAAAAAATCTGTTTCTCATGCAAGTATCAGCCAATTTCCCCAAATTAAGGAAATCGGGGCTGATTTATCGTTGCGCCCTTACTGTAGACTCTCTGTGCTTTTCTCGAAAAGGTTAAGATCTGATTATTTAACATAAGAAAGCACTGGAGCTTAAGGTAATTTAACCTTTTGTAGTCTTTGGTGTTTACCAAATGATCACGTTATTAATATCTTGTGTTAAAATGCAGGAGTCCCTCGCTACTTCACCGTTCGTTTTTCGTGGACTCGCTCGATCGCAGTTTTTCAAAATAAGATTGGACGTGACACACAATTGGCTGAATGATGGATGAGCCACACGATCGTCGTGGATTTTTTTATTTTAAATGAAATTATTTAGCACATGCTGCACCTGTGTGCAGCACACGCTGCAGGAGAAGCTTCCTCCTGCAGCGCGTCATATCCGCTCTGTGCTCTGTTAGAGCATTTGGAGTTTAGAAACATTGTTTAGAATATTTCAAGAGTGTGGGAAGGGTTTAAAACACTCTTTTTATATACATACTAAAATAAACTACTACTCACTACTTGTACTAGTATTCACGCTTCACAGTTTTTCACTTATCGCGAGGCTTCAGAGTACGGACCCCTGTGCTAAACGAGGGACTACTGTATGTTTAAAATGCAATTAAATTATGTTTAACATTGCAAATTTAAAAGCAATCTTTCTAATAAGAGTCAAATAAGAGTATTCACATTAAATGAATGATTCAGATCTTGTATAGTAGATTTCTGTAAAAAGGTTATCTTACCTGTTTTAGATAGCTCTTTGACCTCAGGTGGGAGAAGTATTTCCCGTTCTAACAGTATATAATGTTGCATTTACATAAACTGGTCTAAATGTAATTGTTTTAAGATGGCAGCTGTCTACTTTAGTCAAGACTCAGGTAGCTGCTGGTGTTTCTGCTCAGAATGAGCCTTTTTCTCCACACTCAGGCAATTTAAAAGTTATCTGCAACAGGTAAGATATTAACTGTTGATAAATTTTCCAACAGAACTTTAAAACTATCTGGACTGGTTTTAAGATGCACAACATCAGAACCTCCACATTGCCTTAAAATAATTTCTAATTCTATGTGGATGGGATAATTCAGACGGATAATGCGATGAATTCTATCTTTTTGTAGATGTTGAAGAGAATTATGAACATTTCATTCAACTTTCTGATTGCGTTTGTTTTTGCTGATATAGAGGGCTGTTTGTCAGCTTTTGCTTATTCATCTCAATATTTCTTGATAATATTTATATTTATGGCAAACCTTTTGGTACAGCTTAATACGTACTAGTGATCATACGAAGAGTGAGGAGGGAATTCTGACTGTCTTTCATGGCTGAGAGGATGTTGAATGAAATCAAACCCTACTTTCTAACATCTTATTCCCTATGAAAATGATTTCATCACAGATCGTGCAGGCAGACAGAATCCACTACGTTTAATTAATACGAGCATCCTGAAAGTATCCTCACACGACGTTCTTTGTGTTTCTTTCAGCCCTCAGAGTGCTAAAGGTCGCAATGACACCTTCTACCTGACTCCTGAGCCCGTGGTGGCTCCAAACAGCCCCATTTGGTACTCGACTCAACCAATCCCAAAAGAGCAGTTGGACCAGATGCTCGCCCGCATTCTTGTAGTTCGTGAGATCCAGGAAGCCATTAGCATGTCGGAGAGCGTGCAGTAGTTGGAAACGAGGAGCATCAAAACGAAACGGACTGCTTGCACTCGGCCTTCGATCACTCGTTACGAGTGGTTTTCTATATTCACCCCTCGTTATTGGTTTGGGGTGGCGTGTGTATATATTTATATTCATTATGACTGTACATATACATACAGCTGATGCAGGAAAGGATTCTTCTTACTTGGGCGATCACTCAGTTGTTTTTGTTTTGGCCAAAGGATGTAGTGTCTCTGATGTTTTTACTTTTAGTGGACCGAGCTCTAATTTGAATGTTGTTTTAGCTGTTGATTTGCCTCACCTCATGTGAACTAATTATTTTCTGCCTTGTTTTAATCTGTAATATATACATAGCATATATATATATATATATATTTGCATCAGGGTTGGTCTGTGCCGTGATGCTTTTTTTTTTGTAACTTTTGTCCTTTTATCCTCTGGTCTCTGTTCACAGTGAATACCTCAGCGGTATTAAAACTGTACTGAGCAGCCAATCCAAGGCGTAAAACTTCATTTTCTAGCTGTGTGAATTTTCTTATCTTCGTATTTCACTTTTCTTTACGTTGAGCCGACGTCTCCTTTAACTCTGGACTCTAATGGTTCCTTTTGTTGGAGCTCTGCAGCAGTGACTCACATTAGGACCTAGATCCTCCGTGCACTCGGTCGTAACGCTCTGTCACCACTTAACCTGCAGCCAGTAGCACTTGTCCCATGACGGAGGTGTGGCGGGTGGAGGCTTCTCTGCACTTCAGGACATCGGACTCATCTGAAGAGGCATCTATTGTATCATGCGTGTCTGCTGTAGTACAAAAACTGGACTCTTTGTATGATGTATGAAACTTTTCGCTCCTCCATGAACTGTAAAGGTTTTCAGTCGTCCAAGGAGAACGGCAGTGCCTGTGTGTTTTTGAAACATGACCCTTTTTTGTACAGCCACTTCACCACGTGTCTGCCTTTATGTCAACTCCACTTGCATCATACGCAACGATTTATTGAGAAAGATCTTAATAAAAGTCATTTTACTGCCGTCAGTAATGGAGGTAAACAAACTTCGAGGATAAAAAGCTCCCCCAGGAATGTTTTTTGTTCTGTTGAAAAGTGCTCCATCTGCAATACGTCACTGTAAACGTGTTGGTTCCTAATAAACGCAGTGATTTGCAGAATAACAGGTCAGACTTGATGGGGAGGCTCGATTCCTCCTGGTGACGGTACAAACCGCTGTCTGTGCTGAGAGCGTTTCTCTGAATGTTGTCCGGTCAGTTTTCCGCCTGCATGACTTTGTCAACAGCGTTTTTTTCTGCAGTCTCACCATCACTGGATAAGGGCTTTAAAGTGTCTTCGTAAATCCATGTCTTGTTTATACTGAACGTCCTTTTAGTTTTACGAGTTGTTTTTAGGTCTAGTTTGGCTGCGATAAGGAGGGCATTAGTTTCCTCAGTATGTTCCCGGGGCTTAAAATCTGCTGGATTGAGTTCTGTTCTGATGATTTGTGTCGACGGCGGTGCGGTCTCCTCCCCGATCGGTCCTCTTGTCTCGAGCTCTGTGGTCGATCTGTGATGCTCTGGTAATGGACTCCCTTGGACTGTGGGCTGCAGGGAAAGAAGAAACGTCTCAGATGTTTCAGGGATTAGCCAAAGCCTGACTCGCCCTTTTTAAAAAAAAAAAAAAAAAAGTTTCTTACCTTTTTGAGGATCCTCCGCTCAACCAGTAAACCAGACACTGATGAGCACACATGTACTGGTCCTGAGCACAGAAAAGTACGAGCATGTACTGAGATTGTGCTCGACATGAAGCAGAGAACGGTATATCTGATGGATTTGTACTGTATTTTTCAGACTCAACAGTATGTATTAATTCTGGTTGTGCCTACTGACCTCGAACTGATCCTATGTGGAACAGGAGCTCAAAATCTGTCTAAATGTTTTAGTTTTGCTTCATGCACCTGAAAACGTGCCCGTTCATTGATACTGCGCAGTATAACCCCGTGCAGCTTATAGTCTGAAAAATACGGTACAACCAAAAGTGGGACAAACTCAAGTAGCCTTTATGTATCTGAAACCTCAGTTCTTCTCAAACTGACACTTAACGAGGTTTTTAATTTGAAAACCCTAAACTTATGTGGTATAAACATTGGTGACGTGTCTAAAATACTGGTTTCTTTTGTGTTCAGATGGCACTTCATGTATGTAATGGTTCTGGTTTTTAAACAGATTTGCAAGATCTCCAGACTTACAAATGGTTTAACTATAAATAGTTTATAAAAGAGAATTGACCTAAATGTAGGATTTTTGGTACCAATAAAAATATTTTCTATAGCATCTATAGGGTGCATGAAGTTTATTGGAGTTATAAATATACCTCAAATAAATTCTGCTTTCCAAAAGGTTTGTAAATATATTACAGGTTTAAAGTGAAGCTGTAGAAATATGTTTTTGTATTCAATAAATGTAGAGGTTTGGGGCGATGCATACAACAGAATATGAATATAAAACTGTATTATAACACAAGCAGTAAGAACTTCACACAAAGTGAATGGTTGAATGAATGAATTGTAAGTTTGTGTTTGAAGATGAATAATTGTACTTTTGGATGAGTAAAATAAAGTTTTTTTTGCTTTAATGTGCAGTTCTGACAAAACAAAAGAAATAATTTGGACAATTTGTTCCATTAATGTAGATATTTCTAATTTCACAGATCTAATAAAGGAAGCCTCGACGTGTCGTCGGTACCATAAAGTCTGGTTATCATCAAACTAAACTTGACTCTAGTATACTTTGGGTCATAGTCGACTTGGTGACGGCTCATGTCCTAATGCTGCAAAACAAGCCCAAATCATCACCCCTCCACCACCGTGCTTGACACTTGTATGCTGTTTTGCTGTTGCTAACATAATTATTGTCCTTTTCTGTAAAATGATCAAATTGAAAGATGGTGACAGAGCTGCTTACAATGACTAACAGATTTATGTGAAAGTCTAAACCAGGGCGATTCAACTAAACTGCTCAGGGGCTACAGTTTGAAAGCCAGAGGACCGGGTGATTTTTCATTCAACCTTTCTGTATAGAGGTTAATCCCACTGAGCCTCCAGGACTCATTTTAAGAGATTCAGTCAAGTCATTATGTAAATAAAACAAGTTTTACAATGATTTGTTACCTTCTAAAGTTGTTTATTTTATTGCCTTGAACCATAAACGTAATAAACAGAAGCCAAACCCAGAACCAAACAATATATTTTTAATGAATTGGGCCAGATTGAAGTCACGGCCGCCAGTTGAATAGTCCCAATCTAAACCATATTTTACACATTCTACAAAACACTCATGTTGGAGTCTACATTGGTGTAGAGACTTCTTCTTGAAGTGCATTTAAATACATCCCTGATCATTTTGCACCACATGAACTCACCAGAGTCTGGACCATCCACATTCGATGCAGTCGCAGGTCCTTTACGGCACCTTTAACATCAGGCGTGATCCCTCTGACGCACAGCTGCATCATCCACAACAGCGTCACAAACGTCCCCGACCGGCCCACACCTGCACTGCATCACAAAAGCCAGAGGAAGGACTTCATCAGAGTGAAACCAAGTGTTTCTTGGAGTGGAGGGTGTTGGAATTTATAGTCGAGAGTTCACACCTGCAGTGAACAACAGCTGGACCCAGACGGGGAATGGCGTCTAAATGCTGCCGCACGTGCTCAGTGAATGCACAGAGAGAAGGTGGGTTTGGGACGCCCTGGTCTGGCCAGGAGGGGTAGTGGTAGTGTGTGATTATCCTGTCCTTTGGACTGTCCCTCTGAAACACAAACACGATTGAATTAAAAGACAAAGGCACGCTTACTCAAGTCAGTGCACAGAAATGGGCCTGTAACTCACCTGTCGCAGGTTGATGGTTGTGGTAAAATAATCCGGGCCTTGTCTGCGAGTCACTGTTGTCACCTGAATCAGTCCATGACAAACCGTCCCCTCCTCCAACAGCCAGTATTTATCACACAGGATCTGCACACACAGGAAACACAGTTAAAGTCCTGATGTCGAGCTTGATAAATTACAAACACCTTTCACAATAGAAAACAATTGAACCGTCATATTCTAAAGAGTCGTGCGATTGTTAATTTTGTAACTAATATATTAATGCATGTTCAATCTAAATGGTAATTTATCCTAATCTTTATCATCCCACAAAGTTTGCATACTTTTGAAAAGTTTTAGCGTGTTAAATTAATAATTTAACATTTTTTTGTGGAATATGTTTTTTAACTGTAATCATGGGAGAAGGTTGGTACCACTCATACTGGATACTGCATGGATGTATGCAGTAAAAACAACACATTTAAAGGACAAGCGTTCCTTAAGTACATATTGCTCATGCCAGTGTTAAACTAAATCCTTTAATGGGAAGAGATGGTTGCAGCCATTTTGCTCAAACGTGCAAACCATATGTGCAATCTCATGTAATATTGTGAGATTTCACACAAACCTCAAAGTGTGCTTTGGGCATGACTCACACCACCACATACATTTTTAGCTCAATATCTATAAAAACAAACACATTTTTTGGGTTTGCTAAACTGGATTAGCTGTGGTTGCCATCTTGAACTGAACTGACTTCAAAGTTTATCAGCTCTACGTGTTCACCTAATAAAAAAGCTTACTTAAAATATATATTCATGAGATATTTTACCAACAAACAGAGGTGACTCCAACAGTTAAGGTCAAAGTTTTAAGCAAACATGTGCAGTTTGTTACGCTATATTACTCTCAGCTACTACCACGCCACATTTTAGCTGAAAGTCTGATTATTCTGTTTGCCAAGACTGTTTTACTGTAGCAGCTATCTTGATTTGGACTGAGTCCAAATTAAGGATGCACAGTATTGGATTTTTGGCCGATATCCGATACGCCAATATGTTAAAACTTATTCGTCAGATACGAATCTGGATCATTTTTTTCCTAGACCTACTTACAGAGACTACATAGCTTTATCTGTTATGGAATTAAAATACTACATTATTCTTCATGGTCTTTGTCAGTTTGGTCTGCTAACAAATGCAGATGCCAAAAAGGGGACTGAAATTTATGTAACACCAACTTGGATTATGTTTATATATATATATATATATATATATGAATATGAACAGCACTTTTTATATTGGTGAGAACATCAGCCATCTTTTACCATGTCCATAATATCGTGCATCCCTAATCCAAATAGCAAACAGCTGTAGAATAATCTAGTGATTATTTCTGAGTTTAATCTAAATCTATCTGGTGTTTCATGAGATGTTTTGATATCAGACCCGCACACACCTTTGGTAGTGAGTGATGATAAACATAAATACATGTGATTTTACAGAAGGTGTTTCTTGAACCTCCGTTATGGTCGTTTCAACTTTGTTGCTACACAGAATCCCCATCATGGCACAACTTGCGTATTTGTGGTGAGTTTTAAAACAGTCAGTGGGCGAACTGTGTTTGGGCGAGACAGGAAATATTTTCTTTTTATTTGATTTTGCTCAAGAACTGGAGTTAAACTCCAAATACTTGAACATGTTTGAAATAAATCATGCTTTTAAAAAAAATAAAAAGTCTGTAAACAGACCATACGTTGCACTTGTAGTAAAAGCGTCTCACTGTGTTTTTGTATCGCAGAGCTGTCACCATGACGATTATCCGGACATTTTGCTCCCACACCATCCTCCAAAAGTCAACGATGGTGTTCGGCAAAGGACCCTGGGTACAGATGAAGTCTCTCTCTGATCCTCCACCCTGAAACACACACCGACGGACAGAAAACATGATGCAATGGAAGGGACGGGGAAAAAAACGAAACAGTGAGCGAGAAATCTTACTGGCACAAAACTGGCATTGATGTAGTCCGAAGGTGGATTTTGGTTTTGGATGGATAGCCTCACCCGACAGTGATCATCTGTAATCAAATATGGAGAAATAAATGAAATGTTACATGTTCTTACTGTAATTAGATATAACACGAGAGGCATTCAACTCACATGGTAAAATACAAGAATATCTGTTTTTTTCTTTGTTGGCCTCCAACATTCCTGCTCGGACAGGGAGATCTTTGCCAACGTCGTTCAGCTCCTGCAGAAAGACCATGGCACATGAAAACCCTTCACAGTTTCACTCCAAGCGTTCCTTTCTCTTCACTTTTATAGTCACCCCAAACTCCTGTTTGAAGCCTCGGTTGTTGTTGGCAGCCAGTTTGTAGCATCGCAAATTCAACTCCTGCTGGAGCTGCGACCTCGAGAAAGTTTCCATCCTGCAAAACACGACTATGAAACTGACGCTCGGAAACAAGTCTGGCAACGAAAGCTGTAATATGAAGGTGGAGAGAGTTCCTTGAAGAAATGCTTGTTGCCCGCTGTCTGTTATACCAGAATCTTAGAGTGGGATCACCCTTAAAAAGGACGTGTGGGTCAAAGCTTGTAAATGACATCCGGCTCAATCTCGTGTAATTTCAGCTTATTTTGTGTTGGCTAACAACACTTAGCTGTGACGGCGATCTTGAATTGGATTGGCTCCAAAAACTAACAAGTTGTCGATGTACATCCAATAATGACCTTCCTGAGAGTCTCATTCAATTTAGTGTGGTAATGAGATATTTTGCTAACAGACCAACAGGGTTGATTCCTTCAGATAAAGCCAAAAGTTTTAAGCAAAGACGGTGCGCAATGCGTAGCACTTGGAGTTATGTGTCACGAACGAGTCTCAGCTACTCGTACTCCAAACTTTAGCCTAATATATGTAAAACTGTTTTAGTTAAAATTTGTGTTGTATTAGATCAGTTGGTTTGGGCGGCCATCTTGAATTGTGTTGGCACCAAAAGCTGATCAGTTGTAGATGCACAGTCAGTGAGAGTTTCATTAAATACTGTGCAGTGGTTCACGAGAGATTTTTTACTAACGCTACATAACAACCATACACCCACACATACACAGATGGCCAAAACCTTCTTTCGCCTTTGGTGGCAGGCAGTATATTTACAATGTTTGTCACTTAATCCTAAATACATGTAAATGACAGTACAGTTTTACTTTCAATGGAAAGACAATGAGAGAGTTCAACCATTTAAATATGATTAGAATATCATGAACATTGTTTAGTCTTACCCCATGTCTTTTCCTGCAGACTGAGTTGTCCTTTAAACATGAATGTGGCTGCAAGAGTCAAAACATGCCGCTATGATTTTAGCTCTGATCATGTGAAAATCCTGTGTGGGACATGGAAACCAGACAGTTAGGGACGATATCTTCTGACACGGTTTACCTTTTGTTTGGCGTCCTTCTCTAATAAGTCAAAAAAACCCGTCTTATCTTCTCATCAGAGGTCTGCGATGTGAATGATTTCAACACAGGTAAACCACAGCACTCCTGTTCTTTACTCATTAGAGAAAAAAAAATGGCTTGCAGGTAACGCTTAGCACTGACTCAGAACAATTACATGCCACCTGACAAGAAATAAAACCTGTTCCAACAGGTCCTCAACCCCAAACACCAACAAGACAGAGCCGCTTTAATATTTACAGTACGTGTCTGCTTCAAGTTTACCTTAGTGAGGAGATGAATGGTTGAAGTCCATCATGGGGTCAGGCACAGGATCTGAGGACTGCTGTAAGTCATACTAAACCTGGCAGGTCATGGTAATACTGCCTGTCTGGCTCCAGGCTCAAAGGAATGGGGGTGGGTGGAGACAGTAGGTGGAGTGATAGCACAAACCCAAAGGGAGGGATAGAACTACCTGACAGTTTGACTATGCTTTGTACTCACAGAGTCCTTTGTTTTATTACATCGTGTTCTTGATTCCAGGAAAAGTCTCCACCAGCTCAACTTTCAAAACTACCAACGTGGACAATTTGTCTGGAAGAAAAAAGCCTTTATATATAACAGAGTCCATGCTCAATAATCCAGGTACATAATCCAACAGTTTTCAGTCAGGTCATCTGGACACTTTCTTTTTTTTTGTGCCGAAACGTTCCTTTATATATACTGTGGATGGATGGATGGATGGATGGATGGATGGATGGATGGATGGATGGATGGATGGATGGATGGATG